CTGTATCCGCACAACCCGCAGCTGCTGGCGCTGAGACTGCAATTGGCCCACTTGGGGTCAGCAGGAGGGGGAGGGGGGGCAGGGGGAGGGTCGTACAGCCGTCTGCGGCGGGACCTGGCCATCCTGGCGGCGGCGCTGCGGCGGCGGGCGGAGGGCTCTCTGGAGGCGCTGGCGGAGGCGGAGACCGAGCGGCGGGAGGCAGCGGAGCGGGGGGGAGCGGCGCGGCCGTTAGGTGGGTGTGTGCAGTGATAGCCGTGACCGACCCGGGCGGTGGTGGGGTGGGGGAGGAAGAGGCGGGGGAGCGGATTGTCGAATGGCGGAGGAGAATGAAGAAGAGAACCCGTGTGTGTTGTGTGGTGCTTGATGCTACGTGGGCCCAGTGGGTCACTTTGGCTTGTTGGGGATTCTTGGGTGTGTGTGTGTGTGTGCCTAAACTGACATCATTAACAAAAGTCTGTGAATGCAAGCAACCTAATAAGGCAACCAAAGAAGGCCCCAAGTGATTTCGTGAACCGTATCGTCACGCGGGCATGTAACCGGTGTGTTTCGCCGCTGCAGTACCCAACAACTCGGCGGCGACGGCGGCGGCCGCGGCGGCTGTGTGGTGGGTCCAGCTGGCAGCGGAGGCGGCCCAGCAACTCCCCGCCGGTGCCAGCAACGACCCACGGGTCGCTCGCCTAATGGAGCGAGCTGCGGCGGCACGCCACCTGGCGCCCTGCGCGCCTATTTGGACCGCGTACCTCGCACACGAAGCCGCTGCCGGCAGGCTTGTCCATGCGAAGCGCGTGTTTCTGCGTGCCGTACGAGAGGTGCCGCTGTCCAAGGTTCTATGGATGCTGGGCCTGTCGTTGCTGGGGCAGAGCGGCGGCGGCGGTAACGGCGCGGAGGCCAGTGCGACGGACGGCGGCGGCGTGTCTGCCGCTGCAGCTGCCGCTGCTAATGCTGGAATGTTGACGTCGCGGGAGGTTTCGGAGCTTCTGGGCGTGGCGTCGGACAAGGGTGTACGGTTGCACACAGACGTGTACGAGGTCATGCTGCAGCACCTGGCCGAGCAGGACCCCTAAGTATTGGTAGTATTGGTAGAGACAGCACTGGACAGCACTGCTAATAGAGCTGTCCCGCAGCTGTCCAGAGCTATGTGGTAAGAGTTGGGTGGCTCCCCTCCGCACGCACGCTGTTTCGGGGGGGGGGAAATGGTCCTACTACGAACTGCTTAACTCAACCTACCCCGCTGTAGACCCCCCTTTAGAAGCCCGCTTGGGGGGCCCCCGTCAAGGTATCTTCCTCTCCCCCTGAACGCCTTTTGGTCAGTTCTACGTCTGGTACACTCTTGCCCCGGCAGCAGCTTCTTCACTCCGGTTCGTGGTTCGTCTTTCCCCCTGTCCAGTTGTTTCGGCCCTTCGTGACTTTGGGCACTCGGCGACTCAGGCACCTGAATGCGTCGAGTTGCTGAACGGGGTTCGATTCCTGGTCGTGGGATGCGAATGATGTGGGTAAGCGGCCACTAGGCGGAGATGGCCGCTATATCTTGACATGGCAAGGACTGTCACGGAACTCAGGTAAACTTCACAACGTCAACTTTCACACGTCGCATGTGACGACGGCCTTCTGAATGAAGGATCGACGGGACGGCCGTGCCAATGGGCGGTTTAAGAAAATGGGCGGTCAAGTGCGAATGATGTGGGTACTCGGGGTTTGCATGGCTGCTGCAGGCAAACAGGGTGGAAGGCTCGTAGGGCCAGGGGGGATGAGGGTTGTTTGATACAGGAGGTAGGGGGGCCGTTTCGTAGGGCTGTGGTTTGGGGGCTTGCATTTTCTGTCTGGGAGCGAGTGGAGCTGGATCGAGCTTGGCTGCGTCAAGTTTTTAGATTGCTTTGTTTGAGCATGGTCCGTCGCGGCAAAGGCGGATAACAGGCACACATGACAGTACGACTTCACGGTATTTATCAGAGACGTTTCTCAGGGATGCGACAGTTACCGCATAGTAACGTAACGGTGTAAAAATACAAATTTAAAATGGCTGCTAGGAGTACTGTGCGAAGAGGTTTCTGCCTTCTGTTCTCTGCTTGCTGTACTGAATTCACGAAGCCCCGTAACCGGATATGCATGCGTCCGCTGAACCTACGCTTTGGATTTAAGTGCCAGTTGCTGCGATATATGATTTGATCCGATGTGCTCAAGATTGCCCGATGTTTGCGATCGTGTGTACAACGCTTACGAAGGGAGGCACCGGCTTCCGTCTGCTTCGTATTGTTGACGGACATCCAGGCACCACGCAACTGTAGTGAATCCAAGCCTGGACAGACGTGAAGAGCTGTATGCGATTGCGGAAGCCTGCCATACGTTCTAGGCACTCCTAGGCACTTTCGTACAACGTTAGTTGCATGTGGCAAGTGCCGTTGTTGCTGATCATTCTAATAATATAGAGTAATTTTTGATTGGCGTACTCGGAACAGACTTACAACATTTCTTGGTGCATTTGCGTATACCCCACTCCGGAACAGGGTTCATGTATTTTACCGGTTTGCACTGACGCAAAAGCTTTCTTCTTGAGATCGAACATACCATGGCCGATGAGCTATTTAATGATCTACTGGGACCAACGCCGGGATCCTCGGTGTCTGGGAAAGCTCCTGCTGTGGCACCCGCAAGCTCTACAAGAGCTGCATATCCCAAGATAAGACCGATTAATGTGGTGGACGAGGAAGGGAGCAGCGCAGGATCAGCGCTGGGGGTAGCGGAAGTTAGCAAAGCGACTGTGACCCTCACTGCGGAAGACCTCTCCGCGCTGGTAGAAAAGGGCATTGAAACCGCCCTCGAAGCTACTTTCAGCAAGTTTGTGCGAAGCTTGCGGACGGTTCTTGAGGATGTAACACGACGCATCTCTTCGCAAGAAGCAACTGCCGTGGAGCTGCGCGCAGCTATCGCTGACCTGCGTGAGGCAGTTACTACGCAGCCTGAAGACCTACACATTCGTTTTACAAACCTTGACATGGCGATTAAGGAAGTAGAACGGGGCGTGCAGGCACTGCGCGATCGGCAGGAGCTCATTGAGGCACAGGAGCTGCTGGCGCGCATGTCCGCGGACACGTCCCGCACCAAGGGCCACACCTCAACTGCCGGAGCTCCCGCTGTGGCAGCACCTCCTGTATCGACGCCACCTGCTGCGGAAGCCCCGGCACCGGCAACTGCAGCCCCGGCAGCGCCTGCTCCCTCACTTGCGCCTGCGCCATCGTCCGCTCCCCTTGCAGCTGCGTCTCCAGCCCCGGCAGTTCCCGCAGCGGCGCCAGCTGCCCCTGGCCCCCCTCCACCTGTCGCGCCACAAGCTCCTGCCGCCCCCACGGCGGCGGCACCCATGATGCCCGTCCCACAGCAAGCCCCGTACGGCACCCAGCAGGGCCCCTATAGCATGCCTTTCCCACAGCAGGCAACTCCGGCTCCGACCCACATGCCAGCACCCGCTGGGTATCCCATCCCTGGACCGATAGGCGTGCCAGGGGCGCCGCCATTGCCTATGCCGCATCAGCAACAGCCCCAACAGGGCCCTGCCGAGCAGCAGCAGCAGCAGCTGCAGCCCCAACCGCAGCCGCAACCACACCAACAGCCGCACATGCAGGCGCCTCAGTACCCATACCAGTTGCCTCCCCAGCAGGTGATTGGGAGTTATAACCCGCTGAGAGTGCTGACGGGATGGAGGGCGGATTTTATTAGGACAATGCGTGGCTTGCAGCCTCACGTGGATGAGCGGAGTGACGTTTGAAACTACCATCCTAGGCATCGCGCGCGCGCGTTGGTGTTGTTTCTGCATGGCAGGTCACTCGTTTTTCGGAGCCATTCGTGTTAATGTGGTACCAAAGCGGCTGTGTGTTTGCTTTGGAGCGCACGTGTGTCAAAACATGGTGCAAAACATAGTAGTCAGCACAGTGGTGTGACCTGTTGCTGCGCGAATCCGTTCGTTTGGTTCTCTTGGCACTGGCGGGGACCCCTTCCCTTGGCCTCTCCCTCCGATTGCCTCTACCCATCTACACACATCGCCTCCGTACCCACGGCGCAATGCCCGATTGCCATTACACTGCTTCGCTTTCGCACAGCTTTTAACCGTTCATTGGTCAGCAGAGAAGGGAGAAGGAAGCCATGAACGGCCCCCTTCTAACGTAGTCAGCACGCCTAGCAAGCCTCAAGCCACGGTCGTTCACACTCCAGCTATTAGCCCGCTAGCTCCCTTCGCAACCCCTTCGCTGACCGTCCTTTGTTCCTTTCCTTTTAACTGTCTCGGCTTTCTTGTCGTCCTGCTGGCCATGCACGACCGCGCTTTTGTTGCTCGCTCGGTAGCTTGGAGGCATGCCGCCCCCGCCGGATGCCGGCCCCTACACCGCCCTTCAGCAGCAGCAGCAGCAGCCAGCGCACGCACCGCACTTGCCGCAAGTGTACCCGGCGCCATACGGCTCGATGCTGGGAATGGACGCACCACCCCGTGCTCCGGCAATGCCCACTTCGCACGGTATGCCGCCGCCACCGACACCGCCGCCAGCAGGTGAGTTGGGAGCAGGGCGTCCGGGCCTTGGGCTAGGGTAAGGTTGGGTACGGTATTAAGTGTATGTGGGTGTAGCAGATAGGAGAAGCACGAGCTAGGATTGCAGGATGCTGAGTCTGTCTGCGGCACAGCATCACTGCAAGGAGTTTGCTGGCCCTGCTGGAATTGGATTGTTTATCTTGGTGTCACATGATATAGAATAATGGTTTGTGCGCTGGAAGCGCCCCTTCTCCTGCCCTGCTCCTCCTGCTCCTGCTGCTCCTGCTCCACGTTTTCAGATCTTCTACAAAACCAAACCTCCCCCTTAACTCTTTCGCTTCCGTCAGCCTGCCTGCCTGCTCTCACGCTCCTACACTGCTACCACTTAGCCACTACGGGGCGGCATGCACATGCCCCTAGTGCGCGCGGGCTGGCAGGAGCCAGGTGTGGCCCGGGCCCGGGCCCATTCCCTTCATCCGGTCCCTGCCGGTTTCTCTGTCATGAGCGCCATGCATTCCTGCTATTTTGTTTTCTTACATAGTTTTTTTCGGCTCGTCCCCATAACTCATGCTTGCGTGCGGACTTTGGTAACCTTGTACGACCCTGCAATCATTGTCGTCCAGCTAGGCCCTTCTCCTCATCTCTATACTTTTTGAGGTCCTTTCCATCTCTTTTCATAGCTTCTCATACAGCTGCGCCCTCCTGCTCCTGCTCCTCCTCCTGGCCTAGCTCCTCCTCCTCCTGGCCTAGCTCGTCGCCGCCCCCAATGCCTCAGGGCTCTATGCCGGCTCAGCATAGCCCCTACCCTTCTCCTCAACCATGACGTATTTCCCACGAACATGAACACTTCAACAGCATCTACCCGGGAAACCAACTACCTCACCACCACAGAAGCGCTCACAAAAAACCCTGCCTTGAAAACCCCAATCCCGTACAACACCAGAGGCCCTTGTCTGAACATCAGCGCGCCCGCTCCCGTTTCCTTTCCTTTTCCCGCCCTCCCCATCCTTGGCATCAGCTTCACTCGTTCTTGGGTTGCCTTTCCTCCCCATCCTGCCCCTGCTCGCCTGCCCTCCCTGACCCCCCGGTCTTCTGACCCATGGTCACATCTGCAGGTGGTGGTGGCGCGGGTCCTGCCCCGGGGGCCGTAGGCGACCTCCGCGGCGGCCCTCCGCCGCTGCAGATGGTGAGCTACCCACCCCCGCCCAGCGGCATCCACGGCTACCCGGCGCCCTCCTCGGTAATGCCCGGAGTGTCTGTACCCAGCATGTACGCCCGGCCCACAGCACCCGCCGCGGGCTACCGAGGTGGGCGTGGGTGGGTTTGGTGGCAGCTCGGTGGCGGGGGCGGGAGGGGTGTCTGTACACGTTCAGGGGAGCGTACGGATGGGGCCATGGTAGTTAGTTCGTTAGGTTGGCTGGTTGTGGCCAACGCTAAGGGACTTCCGCCGGGCGCGTGGGTTGGCGCTCTGACTGTTCCGCGAGGAGGTCGTCTCTGCGGTCTGCGGAGATGAGGGGTGGAAGGAGTACATGGGCCGCCGGGCGCCATGCTTGTTTGTGTAACGAAGTGACGGATGTTGGGTCGTTGGTACTGCTGTTGTCTCCCTCGGGAATGGCGTTTGCGGCCGTAGCGAACCGTAGCGGCCGCTGTAGTCCCTTTCCGGACCTCCCCATCCGGGCTGCCATTTTAGCTCGAGTATCAACTACTGTACATTAGCTTGTGTTCGTGTATCGAGTAGTGGCATCCATCGTAATGCAATCCACCATGAGGGGCAGGGGCAGGACCCGCGCGGGGGGGCAGGCGGCTTCCGGTAGCGGGATGGGTCGGCGAAAGTACCGCAGCAACGTAATCGTAGCAAGGTAACCGGTAAGCCTGGTAAAGGTGACGCACCGCCACCGCTACCGCCTTCACCCCCATGTTTGGAGCATGCTGTGGTCCTCCTTTTCTGTTTTTCCTTAGCTCCGGGTGAATTGCGCGCCGCGGGACTATTCCTGATGAACTTGACTTGCCTGCTGCCTCTGTTGCTGCTGCAGGCTCTTCGCAGCCGCAGCCATCCACCAGCGGCGGTGGCGGCAGCGGGCCGACTGGCAGTCGTACGGTGCCTTTGGACAAGATCATTGCGGACATCTCACAAATGGGCTTCAGCCGGGGTGATGTGCTGTCGGCGGTGAACAGCCTGCAGTCCTCCGGCAAGGCGCTTGACCTGAACACCATCATCGACAAACTAACGAGGGGCTAGTGGGGGGCGGGGTAGGGTTAGCGCACCTCTAGCGCGACTCCACCCTCCTGCCCCGTCGCGTAAGTTGGGAGGAGGTTCCCTCACGGTGCGGCTTCTTTTCTCATCCGAAGGAAGAGCTTTCTGGCATCTTGGCCTGGAAGATACGCAGCTGCTGCTGTTGCTGCCGGTGGCGGTAGTGCTGGTGGTACCAGTCGAGGGTGGGGTAAAAAGACATGTGAGGGAGGGGCGGTGAGGCATAGGCCACTGCGCAGAGCTGTAATTTGGGTCACCTGGGGATGTGGGGGAACGACGGCCCGGCCGCGGACGTAACCGGCCGCGGGCCCCTCGCTGCTGGGGAAGGGGGATGAAGTTGGGCATATCGCATGCAAGCAGGATGTAAGATTGCAGACTCCGCTGTCGATCTGCGGTACTAATTACTATGACAACTGCACGTGTTGTGCACTGCACGAGGACTCCGTTGCGGCTCTCCATGCGCGAGGACTTTTTCTCTATGCGGAAGCTCTCCACTGTTTTAAGGGTGTCCCTTCGCCGCGGCATTCCAGCATGTCACGAACCGCATGAAGAAAAAGCTTGCGCCCTGGTGATTTGAAGTCGTTTTACAAATTCAGTTGTAACAAATTTCGTAGCTGTAGGGACTGCCATACCATCAGTGCCGTACCGCCCCCTGCTGCCGCTTTGTGTGGGCGCAGAAGCCCCCTCACCCCGTGTTGTGTGAGAGAGCTCTCCGTATCGACGGTTCATGCAGATCGGTCGCAGTTGACACGTCACGTGGTGGGGGTATAGCTTCGGTGCATGCGGCGCAGTCCGTGCGTTCCCCAAATGTCATACGGGCATGCGCATGTTGGGATCTTGAAGGCGCCCACTCGGCTGCTCACAAGTCGCAACGAGCTGTGCACAAGCGGCAGTTGCGAATTGAGGACTGTGGACGGCAAGACGGGAGTGGAGGGGCCAGAAGCTGCCGGACGTTAGCAACAGGCTATTGTAAGGCATCACCACCTGGGGATGTTCGTTGCGAGCTTAACGAAGTAGTCGAACCCGTCCTAATCATATCGCCATTTTCCGGTGTCAGCACCGTGATAGCCAGCGGCCACCGCCACCACCGCAGCCGCCACCGCATCGTCATAATCACCCGACTGGTCCCCGGGACTCTTTGTGGGAGGATGATGAAAGGAACAGGACGGCAGGAGTTGAACCTGCTTGCTCCAGGCGGAGTACCGCCGAGCGCCCCGATTAGAATACGTCCCTGTGTGTATATCAATTGGTGGTGCACCCATCCATCTCACCCGACAGCCCTGGTTTGCCCCGCACCAACAGCACGCCTCCCGGGTTCCCATGGCCGGCGGTCTGAAAGCCATCCAGCTGCTATGCGCCCTATGACCGTCAGACCAGCGCCTACGATCTATCTGCAATGGATCGATCCTAGACAATCCGTTTTGGGGCTCCTGGAGGCCCAGAAAGCGCTGCCGGGGCATAATGCGCCCCCTTAACGTCGACCACGCAATGTCTTGCATGTGCTAGATTCCACAACAATCCTATGCGTTTCGGTGCTTTTGGATGGGTACAAAGCGAGAAGTCCTGTCATCATCATCGGCCAGGTCGAAGTCGGAGGTGCCCGCGCATGAAGCTCTTTGCTAAACTAGTTAAAGCAATAACTTTTCTTTAGCTATGCAGTTTCTGTAGCCCGTTCATTTGGCATTATGTAAATGTGTGACCTCCGTCCGGCAGTCCGTCTACCAAAGTATGACCGCTTTGTGCAAAATTTAAGCTATAAAGAAAAGCAATAATTAACTCAATTGGTGTTCCTGGCCTCGCCGTAGTTCGTTAGCCAACTTCCACTCCGGGGCATAGGCACTCCGGGAGGGGGGGGGAGGGGCCATGGTCGCTTGCCTACTAACAAGCAACCTCGAACCTATGAAGTACAAAATGGCCGTATTTTAAGGTTATTGGCCTTAAAAAATCTTATGCTTTGCCTCCTAAAGAAATTAAAGGTTTGGCTTTTATTGGCTTTTAACCCACCTCCACATGTCACTCATACCACGTGATCGCCAGAAGCGGTTTTCCTTGTCTATCTTGGCCTCAGCGAAGCTATGGATCGTAACGAAGCCGCAAGGGCCCAAATAGACATCCGCCTGCTAATTGGAAGATGAGCGTATCTGAGGACCTGGCCTACGCACCTTGCATTGCGGAACCAGTTTTCATCCGCTACACCGAGCTTTGAGATTCGAATTCTTTCTAAAAGGAATAATTCGAGGATGGTTTTAGCCCTGCCTCAGAAAAAGAGAGTGGATTTACGTCTTGCCGCACATTTATCCTCCTTTGGCCAGGAAGTATCCTTCCTGCCAAAACGCCAGCTCAGGCGTGGGGGATGGAATGGATAGTCGTTGAAAGACCCCGGTATTAAAGCATTTCTGACAAGGCAGGACACGCTACTCCAAAGGTTTCTTATCGCAGGGAACCATTAAAGGCTGTGGCCCGGCTTTGCCTTTTTAATGTTGCCATTTTTGGGGGAGTCCGGGGGAGCAGCAGTATTTTGGGGGGGGTCCGGGGGAGCAGCAGTATTTTTTTTTCGTTTTGGGCCTAATACCCTAGAGTAATAAACTGGGTGTTTCTTGCGGTTACAATTCCTTTTTGTATAGTCGCTGGGGGGGGCT